GCAGCCCTGGGTTCAATCCTTGGTACCAAAAATATAAAACAAAAATTATAAAAATTTTTAAAAAGACCTACAMATTTTTGACTCATCTAATATAAATTCATCTCCCCAACCTCATCCACATTATTTCTGGGGTTTAAATAAACCCTGGTTTTAATGGTCAGATTCTACTCCAGTTAATCAGACCACCTGGAGTAAGTCATCTCCCTAGTTTTCAGTTGCCTCGTTTATACAATGAGAAACTCGACAAGAACTGTCTGCTGTGGCCGTGGTATTCTAGAGGTACTAACAACTGCTCTTTACTGAGAGCCTGCTACATGCCCAGCTCCCTGCTGTGCCTTGAGTCACAAGGCCCTTGTGAGGGTGAGATGATGATCCTCGTGGAAGGGGCAGGAGTCAGGCCCGGAGAGGTTCAGGAACGTGCTCATGTGCAGCGAGTGAGTAAATTGGGCTTTGGGCTTTGGTCTGTRGGACCCCTGAACCAGTGCTCTCAGCTGCTGCTCCATCCTGCAAGGAGTTTTCAACCTGAAAAAGCAATTAACCTGAAAGAAAAGACTGAAATCTAAAATGAGCAGCCATTTCCTACGGGTGACAGATGATGCTGTCTTCTCCTGGGGATGGAGGTCGAGGAACGTGGGCAGGAAGAAGAAGAGGCAAGCAGGTGACCCTGCTGGTTCTCCCCAAGTTAGATCTCCACAGTCGGGTTCATGATTTCTCTCTAAACAAAGTAAAACTCCCCCAGGGGACGCACAGCCTTATTTCAGTATAACTAAAGTRTGTTTGAGAAGACAGGCATGACTCTCAGATCTTCTTCCTCCAGGTCCCCACCCCCTACACAGCCAAGACACATGCTCTCCTGAGCATCCAGACTCTGAAGAGACATATGCTCTCAAGTCTGCATCGAAGGTCATGGACTTTCAAATGTTCCTTTTCCTGTCTCCCTAATCCTTGGCAATAATGCAGGCTCTGCACAGGCATCAGAGTGGGCATATCCATGTGTTCCCCAGGGACCCTCAATCAGAGGAGGAGGCAAGACCAGCAAGAGTACAGCTGAGCTCTAACTGCCCATGGGATACAGCAAAACCATGGATGTGTACCTTTGGGGAAAAAAAATCATTGCAAAATCAACCTAGGAACCAGGCATGGTGGCACATGTCTGTAATCCCAATGACTTGGGAAGCTGAGGCAGGAGGATCACAAGTTCAAGGCCCGCCTCAGCAACTTATCAAGTCCCTCAGCAACTTAGCAAGTCCCTAAGCAACTTAGCAAGACCCTGTCTCAAAATTTTTTTAAAAAGGGGGGGGGTGGTTGTTGAGGATGTGACTCAGTGGTTAAGTACCCCTGGGTTCAATCCCCAGTATAAGAAAAGAAAAGAGACTTAGGAATTGGATTTTTTTAAAAATATCAGAACATCCCTATGAAGTTATTATATAGATCTTAGGAATGAATCAGATCTTTAATGGAGCAAATCATTGTTCAAACCAATGGACAAAACTTTGGAACTGRAGGCCAAGTTAAGCAATCATTTTGCAGAAATAGAGACAGAGGAGAAATGGTATTAAGAATCTTCAACAGAAGTTTCAAGTACTACATCAAACATCCTGGGAAAAGAAGAGCTTAGGACGTGGTACAGAAGAGGCTCAAATGCAAATCCAGGTATGCCCAAGGGTGCCTTTCTCCTCAACGACAGGTTGACTAATGCCGCTCACCAGCAGTCACCCAGCTGGAGCCAAAGATGGGACCAGAGCTCCACCCACCAGCATATGTCACCCATTACATGGAAATATGCATTATATATACAGCTGAGGTACCAAGGTACTAAGTTACTAAGGTACTAAGGTACTGAGCAACATGCATGAACAAGTATTCCCCTCGGTTCATCATAAAGATCCAAATGTTCTTTGTTTCCCAAGGTTGTCCTGAATTTACAAGCCCTGTATGTAGATATCTGTATCATTGGATTCTATCGACTGATAACCAAGAGTGGTCACCGGAGGGGAGTGAAGCAAGSTAAGTAGCCCACATCAGTTTGTTATTCTAGCTCAATAAATGACTCTATACCTTAATGATTTAAAGCCATTTATTATTGCCCATGGTTCCTACAGGTCAGAAATTTGGAAACACCCAGAGGGAGCAGTTTTGTCTCTGCTCTGCAGTGACCAGGGTTTCAGTGGAAAGCTGAAGGGTGGGAGGGACTCATCAGAAGGCCTGTTCACCCACATGTCTGACCATGGGCACAGGCTTTCAGCTGAGGGCTTGAAGGCTGGAATGCCCATATACAGCTTCTCCATGTGCCCTGAATTTCCTCRAAGATGGTGGCTGGGATCCAAGAGGAGCATCCCAAGACAGAGACCCAGATAGAAGTTCCGTCCTTGTTCTGACCTTGCCTGACAGGCACACAGCATTGCTTCCACCAGACTCACTGATCAGGCGGATTCCAAGCCTTAGCAGCTTCAAAGGGAGGGGACCCAGCRCCACGGCTCCAGGGAACAAACATCCATGCTGTAAGGAGAGTAATGGAGAAGCACACTTCTATAGGCACAGCCCCCTTTGGAAAAGACAGCCTTCCCTCACAGAATCCTGCTGTAAAGAGGATTTCTAGAAGGGTGTGCCCCATGGTTCAATGACTTCATAAACGAGAGTCTTAGATGGATTCTAACGGAGGGGATTATTCAGTGTCTGGTGACATGTGGGGACGTAGAATTAGAAAGGTATGTTAGGACCAGGTTTAGAGAGCCTGGGATGACATTAAAATTGTAGACATTTATTCACAAGGCACTAGGGAGCCATAGAAGTATTTTCAACAAAGATTGCCCTGTGGCCCTGGAGAGGGGAGATTAGAGAGAGCCACGAGGCAGGGAGACCAATTGGGAGCTAATTAAAGAGGTCCAGGTAAGAAATGTCTGGAGTCTGGACGGCGGCATTTGTCTGCATCTCTGGGCTGCCAGCCTATACCATCTGCCCATTTTTGTTCCTGGTTAATTATAAAAACAGCCAGGACCCAAAGAGTTGCAGCATTTAATATTAGATCATAGGTTTTAAAGTACCCATTTGATATCTACTTTTGTTTTTATAATCATAAATATACCTTATAAAGCAATTTGCCTTAAAATGAACGTTTACTTAACACAGGGCTGTGACATTTTATAAAGCATGGATTTTGCTTATAAACTGCATAATGTCCTTCCTACATAAGCTTCTTCTTGTATTTGTTTTTAATGAATCATTTGAATATATTACCACGGTCCCTCTGTCCTTCTTTTCCAACTTTATTTAACCCTCACTATAAGCCAGAGTCACTGGGCAAATTAGGTCCCTGGTTCTCTGGAAAACTTGACTGATGTTCGCACTTTGCTTCAGAAGTTTTGAGATTTTCRTGAGAGAGGGGAGGGCATATCGCAGATGTCTCTAAGAATGTGATAAAAATTCGCAGATGAGCTTGTTGTCTCGTGGAATGRGAAATGGCTTTGGGGTAGTGGCCCGAGCCAAGAGGGTCACAATGAAGCAGCTGTACGTGGGACCTGAATGAGGTCACAGTCATGGCAGGACTCCTGGCCTTTGAAATAAGGGCACTGCCTGAGCTGGGACTGTCACTCGTGCCTTCGAACTTTGGTTTCTCAGGATGAGCGTGGTACTCAGACTCGTCCCTGAAGGCCCCATCCTGCAGGGGTGGCAATCTGCTTGGGAACCTCAAGTCACTGTGTGCACCATCAAATCAAGTGGAACCTGTCCTTTCACCTGCCTATCTGAGGCCGCACTTAGAACTGTGACTTGTAGTTTAGTTTGCTCTTGGATTTCTTTATTTAAACTTTAATCTTGTTGTATAAACACTCCTTGGCACATTTTACAGGCCTGAAATTCTTTCTATCATGGCTTTTCCTCCTCCTCCTCCTCCTCCTCCTCCTCCTCCTTCTAACAAACTCTGGAGTCTAGACTTTGTCAGGTGAATACACGAGTTTGGGACTGTTCATACCAAAGCCAGAGACACATTCCAGGAGCCTGCCTGGTTCCTGACCTGAAACAAGATGAGGAGCCTAGGCCCACAAAGGGATACCCAAGAAATCTTTGGAAGTGAAAACCCTGATTTACCACTCGAAGGAGGTAAGAAGATTCCGCCAAACTTGCGTGGCTGCCGCCTTAGGACAAGATGGGAGTTGGTGAGAGGCAAGTGTCTCTCGGGCTGGGAGAGAGCCTTCCCCTGATGAAGCTGTTGAGAGGGAAAGGGGCTCTGGATAGCAGCTGTCCCCTCCACGGAGGGGTCTAAGCAGGCCAGATTGGCCATCTTCAAGAAAAGGTCTGAAAGGGATTCAATCAGTCGATGGAAAATCAGATGGATGTGTGAGTCGATTTCATTCAGATACCGTATCTTAAGGGCAGGGATGGAGCTCAGCAGGAGAGCATTTGCTTAGCATGTGTCAAGCCCTGGGTTCCATCCCCAGCACTTGGGGGTCAGGGGAAGCACCAGGTATCCTGTCTTACATTTGTCCAGGAAGCCTGTGAAGGCAGGATTGTGTTAAGGAACAGACCTTGTGGAGGTGGCCTTCCTACTGTGGGGATTGTAAGAGGGGACAGTTGTTTTAGCTCAAGTATGTAGTCCCAAGAACACATGGCTGGGCTTTCCAAAGAGACACATTGCACTTGATAAACCAGTGGTCAGTGGCTGCTTCTTCCTAGTGCAGAAAAAGCAAATCTAGGAGTGGCAAGCACTGGCCTTGCCAACCTGTCACAGACTGCAGAGTGGGGGGCGGAGCAGGGGCAGTGCATACAGGTCAGGTCTAAGAGAGAGGTGGGAAGGGAATTGTGGGTCCTTCAAACAGGCTGTCCATCATGGTGTGATGACAGTCACACTAGAGCTAATGTGCAGGAGACGCCAATCAGCTCTCGTGGCTTCAGTGTTCATCATAAATAGGCCTGAAAACCACCGTGGCCTTCTCAGAACCTCATAGTGGCCACATCTGATGAAGTTCAGGGCTGTGGATTTTTGGTACAAAGCAAACTGAAGATTGTCAGGCTCTGAACTTTAGGGCAGATTATAGCGTGATGATTGGAGTTCACGTGATATGTGATTGATGTCTCTGTGCAATCAGGACTCGCAAAACCTGATTGCTCCTATCTGATTCTTTTGGGAGGAAAAAAAACCACGCACGCACAAAAATGTAGATACATATATGAACTTACACCACTGAATTCCTTCCCTTTGAGCCTCTAGACAATAAAAATGTTGACAGAGCTCTCGTTACATTTTCTGCATTCTGCCCATTCACGTTCTGGCTGGGGTAGATGTATTGCTTTTGCCTGCCCAGGATACAATCCTTTTCTTTTTCTAGAAACCACACCATCATTTTCCTTTAGGAAATCACATCTGTCCAYTCTTTTTTTTTTAATATTTATTTATTTATTAGTTATTGGCGGACACAACATCTTTGTTTGTATGTGGTGCTGAGGATCGAACCCKGGCCGCACGCATGCCAGGCGAGCGCGCTACCTCTTGAGCCACATCCCCAGCCCCATCTGTCCATTCTTGAGCAAGAAAAACTGCAAGTTCAATGCCAACCTCAGCAACTTCGTGAGGCCCTAAGCCACTTAGTAAGACCCTGTGTCAAAATAAAACATAAAAATAACAACTGGGGATGTAGCTTAGTCAGCGCTCCTGGTACAAAATAAAAAKTATATATATTTACTATATAAAGTTTAAAAATATATAAAATTATAAAATACATTAAAATTCTTCTTACTAATGTTTTTACTGTGACAAAATAATATAATTAATTATTCTTGGGGGGGGAAAGAGGCTATTTTTCTTATTTTTAATAAGAGATTAGGAATGTATCTCATAGGAAATGCTCGTGAAGGGTGTGTTAGCTTTCTGATACTGTAACAAGACACTTGAGATAATCAACTGATAAGTAAGAAGGTTTATTTTGGCTCACAGTTTGGAGGTTTCAGTCCATGGTTGGGCAAATCCATTGCTTTTAGACATGTGGCAAGAAAGCGTCTCACGGCAGGGAGCCTGTGGTAGAGCAAGCTACTCGCCTGTTGGCCGCCAGGCAGCAAAGAAAAAGGAGAGAAGGAGCCACRTTCTCAAAATGCCCTTTGAGGGTCCACCCCAGTGACCTAATTCATTCCCTCTAGGCCCYGCCTCTTAAAGATTCTACTTCTTCCCAGTAGCACCACAGGATAAGGACCATGACTTCAAAACGTGGGCCTTTGGGGACAGTCAAGATCCCAAACTAGCCAGACAGGGTGGTACACACCTGCAGCCTCACTGATTGAAGAGGCTGAGGCATGAGGCAAGATAGAGGGCAGACTCAGCAACTTAGTGAGACCCCATCTCATTAAAAAAACTAAAAAGGTTGAGGGATGTGGCTCAATGGGAAAGCACCCCTGAGTACAATCCCCAGTACTGCAAAAATGAACAACAAAAACCACACAGGAGATGTGCATGGGTTATAGGCAAATGCTACACTTTTTATATAAAGAATTTGAGCTTCTGCAGATTTTGGCATCCTGGTGGGGGCCTCTTGCAGCCGATCCCTATGAGTGCCAAGGGATGCTTGTACTAGTTTTTCCACTGAGGTTGCTGAGTTGCTAGGAAATAAGCCTGCACCTGCCAGGTACCACTTGGCGAGAGGCACCAYGAGAAARGAGAGGAGAGGGAGAGGTGGAGAAGCAGCCGTGTCCTGACTATATTTGTTTAARCCCCTGGTTTCAATCAGGACTAAAGCCAAACCATTCCCTAAGCGTCTCAATTACTGAGCCAAGAGAAACACTCCTTTACATTATTCCAGATTGAGTTCAATTTCTGTCATTTGCTATCGCAGGAGATTTCAAGGCAAATGCTGAGCTGTAGTGGTRCATGATAAAGAACCCAGTCCTGGGCATGGTCCTTTCAGGAATCTGGCCACATTGGCTTGGACAGACCCAAAAAGAAAGACTCAACTTGGTGATAACTTTGAGACTTTCTGGTTCATGTCTTAATCCTTTATTGTCTTAAGCTCCAGGGATACAATTAGATTCTTTAAAACACAATTTGCTTCCCAATGGTGATGGCTCATGATTCACCATTAGAAACTTTGGTCATCTGCTTAGTGATTTTGGAAAYCTAAGTAGTCCAACAGGTGATGTCTAGTGCATCCTTGAGGATTAGTATTTTATAAGGACCAATCAGATAGCTTTACAGAGTATTATTCATTTCAATTTCATTTTGTGCATTTGCAGAAGTAAAGCAAGTCTGTACGGTCTCAAGTGAATTGARTTTGGGCCTGGACTAACCATCTCTTGCTCTGGTGCTAGTCCACGAATGGTGGGAGTTCTGCATTCTCAATCTGTGATGAAGTGTGAGAAATTTAAGAAAATCATCTAACGCTAGGGTCGAAGGGAACCGGTTGGCCATTTGGAAGTTTATTTCCTCTGAGGAACTGTAGATCATCCAAATTCACTTTACTAAGTATGCATACTTAATTCGCATCCAATTAGATAAAGCCTCTGGATAGAACCTGGAGCCCTGATATTAATTCATTAATTCAGGCGTCAGAGTGGGAGGTTAYGCTCAGACTGGCCCAGATGAATGCATTTAAATTGCTCTAATCTACAAATTGGAGCTGATTCTCTATCGTTTGAAAGCTGGGAAATGTTTCCATTACCACATATTTTCTGAAATACTCAGAACTGTGGTCTTGCTTTTCAGGAGCATGCTTTTTAAGCAGGGCTGTGAGGTGATCCGTCTCACGTTGCAGAAAGAGCATCGCAGTGTGGCCCAAGGGACAGACTAGAGAACAGCAGGTGGGGCAAAGGGGCACGATTTAGGATAAACAAGCCAAGAAATGATAAGGGGGTGATCCGGGATCCTGGTAGAGGGTCCCTGGAGGACATTTGTGTAGTAGAGTGCCTGTTGTGGGCTGAAGAGTGCCCCCCAAAAGAGATGTCCACCCAGAACCTGTGAAGRTGACCATTTTTGGAAAAAGGTCTTGGCCAGGTTCCATGGCACATGCCTGCAATCCCAGAGACTGGGAGGCTGAGGCAGGAAAATCACAAGATCAAAGCCAGCCTCAGCAACTTGGCAAGACCCTGAGCAACTTAGTAAGACCTTGTCTTAAAACAAAAAAATAAATAAATAAAAAATAAAAAGGGTTGGGGAGCCAGTGGCTTGGGAGGCTGAGACAGGAGGATGGCAAGTTCAAAGCCAGCCTCAGGAAGGGTGAGGCGCTAAGCAACTCAGTGAGACCTTGTCTCTAAAAAAATGCAAAAGAGGGCTGGAGATGTGGCTTGGGTGGTGGTCGAATGCCCCTGAGTTCAATCCCCAGTACAGGGGGGAAGAAAAGGAGGGGAGGTTGGGGACATGGCTCAGTGGTAAATGGCCCTGGGTTAAATCTCTAATATCCACCCCGAAACCCATCAAAAAAAAAAAAAAAAGGGCTTTCCAGATATAATTAAGGATCCCAACTTGAAAACATCCTGAATTGATGAGGTGCGACCTAAATCCAGCTTCAAGCATCCTCCCATTACCACATATTTTCTGAAATGCTCAGAACTGAGAGACAACAGGGGAGAAGACTTGGGGACACGTGCAGAGGCCAAGTCCACAAAGAGCAGCAGAGACTGGAGTGGTGCTGTCACAAACCAAGGAATGCCTGGCGCTCCCAGAAGAGGAAGGGATCCAGGGATTCTCCCCTAGAGCCTTCAGAGGGATGGGGGCCTGCTGCCAGCTCCATTTCAGACTCTGGCCTCCAGAGCCCTAAGAGAATAATACATTTCTGTCACTTTAAACCACTAACTTGTGGCTAATTCATTGCAGCACCCTCCCCAGGAGCACTCCCCAAATTTACATTTTGGGTTTTCTCACCTTTCCACCTGTTTCGGGGACTAAAAATCACCCCCTTAAAGGAAATCTGCCTTACTCTACAGAGAATGACTGACTTCAGAGAAAAGCCCCCCRGCAGGGAGAAGGGAATACAACTTGTTTGGGAGGTGGAGAAGAGAAGCTCTATAAACACTCCTCATGATGGGGGTGTAACCCAGGGGTAGAGCATGCGCATGGCATGCTTGGGGCCCTGGGTTCAACCCCCAGCACCAGAAAGAAAAAAGGAAAAGAAAGAAAAACCTTCTCCCTTTCGGGAGTAGAGAAGTGTGATTGGGACAGGCAGAGAGACACAGCATTAGAAGTGAAGGTTACTGTACCAAATGAGACTCAGCTACAGGCAACAAAAGGCTCCATTTAAAGAAAAACAACGATGGAAAGATACTGGCAAATCATTTGTGAAGTTTCAAGGAAGGGCCCCTTCATCCAGCCTCCACATCTCCAACCGTCCTTTCTCCATAGGGGGAGCTTTAAAACTAGGCACAGTGGCGCACAACTGTAACTCCAGTGACTAGGAAGGCTGAGGCAGGAGGATCGTGTTTGAGGCCAGTCTCAGCATCTTAGTGAGGCCCTAAGCAACTCAGTAAGACCCTGTCTCAAAATAAAAACTAGAAAGGGCTGGGGATGTGGCTCCGTGGTAAGGTGCCCCTGGGTTCAATCTACGGGTGTGAATGAGATGACCCACGAGGTTGTAGACTAGAAAGAACAGAACCTCTGGGACACAGCAGCCTAGAAGCATGGATTAGAGGTAAGACAGATGAGCAAAGGAAACCAAGAAAAGCCCGAAGGGTCTCCCGAGGCCAGGAGAGGGCAGGGTCAAGCAGGAGGGACCAGTTCACACAGGCCTGAGGAGCTCCAGGAGGAGAAGGGCAAAAAGTGTCCCTTGATGTTGACGGGTGACCTCAGCGGAGCTGGTTGGTGGGGTCAGAGGTCTGATTGGGACCAGGGAACAGACGAGGGACCAGGAGGGGAGAGCACTTGGGATCCAGGGATAAGCCTGTGGAGAGAGACGGAGGGGGGCAAGGGCCTCCTGAGAAGGTAGTGGGAGGTCCACACTGAACCAGGGGTGGAAGGCCTCCTCCTCTCCAAGTCTCTGAGGCTGGAGAGAAGCGGTAAGGTGGGGTGTGGGGGCAGACAAGTTGGGGTGGGTAGGGGGTTGTTGGAGGGTCACAGGACRCAGGAAGTGGAGAGGGGCTCACAGGAAGCAGAGAGGAGAGCTCTGGAAGTCGGGAGAAGAGCACAACCAGAGACTTTTGTTTTC